CACACACACACACACACACACACTTTATAAATTTTGTTGAGGAGGATGCTATTGGCAGCTGATAAACAGTGTGCTGTAAAGAAGTACAGTCATATTCAGTAAGCTTCCTGCCCTGCAGGAGCTGAAACACTCCAGTCTTATCACYTCTAATAATCTGCTGAACATGTCTTTATGAACACACAGCTCCTCCAGCATCAGTTTTATTTCTTACAGAGCTACACTGACCTTTCTTCTGAGGGGGGGTTTCTGTCCTGCATGTTACTGGGGGCGTTTTCCCTGGACTGAATTTTTTCCCTTTGCAGCTTCAGTAGCACACAGCCAACCTCCAGCCAGGCTACGCTGTTCCTCGCTCTGGCACTATTTTCTCTCTCTCCAAGGTTGGGAAGCAGCCTTATTACCTAGAAGAAGGGCAGCAAATACAACGAGCAGCTTGAGAGAGAGAATAATAATAATAAAAAACCTCGACAACAACAATAATAAAAACAGCACACCGTCTTTCACCGAGCAGGAGCGTCTCCGGCTCTGTCTGTGTCGTTTTGAAAGGAGGAGAGAGAGAAAAAACCCAAACAGGTAAAGAACTGGGATGTTTGTTTGCATTTTTCGTGCCTCGCTCGGTTCATATCCGGATCAACGCTTTTCCTTTCTCGGTGTGATGTGATTAAAGACGGGCAGAGGCTAAAAAGAAGGGGGCGGGCAGGGACTTGCTTAAAGAAATGGCTCGTTCTGTTATGTCGGTAAAAAAGAGAGAGAGAGAGAGAAAGAAAGAAAGAAAGAAAGAGAGAGAGAGAAAAACAAAACGGAATAACGCGCGAGACTCTGCCTCGCGGAATGCATAAGAACTGAATACATTTGCCGAAATGAAGCTACGTTTTCACTGTCAGCGCGCTTCTTCGTTAAAAACAGCTCTCTGTTAAGCTAGCACCGCCGGGTTCGACTTCCCCTACTTGTTTTAAGGGAACCAAATGTCAACGTCTGCGTACCTACGTCGAACCGAAGCTTTTCCGCCTGACCGACTCCCTCGGTTCGGTTCCAGTGACGTTCAAATAATAGGCGCCGTCATATTTTTTTTTTCTCATTCGCCCACCGCTGCGTCCGAACGCAGCACGCGCTCGTGAAGCTTTGAAGCCGCCGCTTTCTTGTGTCAGATGTATGTTCAGACATGTCGGCTGACGTGCGCGAGCTCCAGCGGCTCCGCTGCTGMCCGAAGGCCGCAGCCTGTCAGCCCATCATCATCATCATCATCCTCATCATCACTGCTGCTGCTACATGTTTACACGCTGCTGGAGGAGAACTGTACAAACACAAAAACTCTCCATGCAGTAGAGGGCACTCTGTCCTGTTAGCTTACAGACACAGCTGTGTCAAATTAAGCTATAGTCCTTTGTAAATGTGTTGTAGGACAGTAATATAGGCCATGGAGTCTCACAGAACTGGTTTCTGGATGTACATCAAACTCCCAATTCTAATTATAAGTTGGGACTTGGTGTAAAATAAAAACAGAATGTGCAAATCTCATCAATGTTATTCACAACTAAACTAAACAGATATGTTGAAACTAAGTAATTATATCATTTTAGGCAACAAAAAAAAATTCAATTTTATTGCAACAACACATCTCCAAAAAGGGGAAACGGTCGTGTTTATTATTTGCCTTTTAACAAATGTAAACGTGTAGGAACTGAGGAGACCAGAAGTTCCTGTTTCTGGTTTTGAGAGGTGTCATTGCTACTTTTTGCCACTAGTTGGTTATATATAGTTGCCCTTATCACTGTGCCTGATGTTTTTTTCTTTCATCATGTTTCTACCTCAGTGTTGTGTGACTCGAAGTAGCTGGTGATTTGTAAATTTCCTTCGGGATAATAAAGTTTTATCCGATCTTATCGTTGGAGGGGAACGTAGGTTTTCCAAGAGTTCTGGGTCGTCTTTGCTGATTCTTTTGTCTCGTGATGCGCCGAATGTTTTTCAGCTGGTGAGAGGTCTGGACTGCAGGCGGGTCAGTTCAGCACCTGGGCTCTTCCACTACAAATCCGCTTGGAATGGATGCAGTAGCAGTTTAGCKTTTTCTTGCTAAGACAAGCACGTTATTTCCTGGAAAAATACATGATCTCAGTGGGCGCATGAGTTTAAAATACTGTTTATATGTTTCTGCGTTAATGGAGCATTTCCAGATGGGTCAGCTGCCCGTGCTTTAGATGCTAATGCACCCCCATACAATCAGCGAGGCAGACTTAGGGAACAGTGCACTGATAACAGGCTGGATGGTACTTGTCCCTTTTAGTATGGAGGACGTGGCATCCATGGCTGTCAAATCAAAATGTCCATTTTTCCACAGTCTGTTTTAAAATGAGCTTCGGCCCAAACATGAGGCCTTTTCTTTGCACGATAGAGCTTTAATTTGGAGTGGTACATGGCACAAACTGTGTTTACAGACAACGATTAAAGGAAGTGATCCTGAGCCCATACAGTGATGTCCAGAACACAATCAGGCCTGATTTTAACACCGTGTCGCCTGAGGGACAGTTAACCTGATTAGTTATAAAACGCTCCCTAAACTGTTTTTTTTTAAATCGGTTCAACTTATTTTTCACAACGTTTTGTTGTCCCTACCAGAACCTTGTGGGGATGTATTGCTGCCATTAAATTCAAAACAATCTTTTCCCCCCCTATAAAAATAATACAATATTTTATTTAAACATCTAATACTTTCACTATTTTCCATTGTAAATAATGTTTTTTTTATATAATCATTTTTAATCTGATTGTGTGGCCCAAGTTTCAGCTAATATGGGCCAGTACAAAATAATATTTATAATAATAATAAAGCTACAATTTAAAATGTTAATACTTGATATAATCCTCTGCCCTGCCTAATTAAATAAAAAAAACTTTAGATGAATCAAAAAAGCTAAATCTCAAGATCAGTTTATGTGATTACTGTAAAATATCAGCCAGTTCAGATGTTATCAGTCCATTATGGACATTATTAGCAGTTATCAGTCCCATAGAATGGCTTCAGACTGTCCCGACAGTGCCCCCTAGTGGGTTACCAGTGCCATATACGTTGGAATGCAACAATCTGCTACCTTCAAAGTCCGGTGTACTTTATTGTAGCCCATGTCATTTTCTCTAAAATTAACCTTAGTGGTTTTATGCCTCATACTAACCAGCTGACAGACTGAAACCATTCTATGGGACTGATAACGGCTAATAACGTCCATTTAATGGATGATAACATCTGAAGCGGGTGAAAATATTGAGAATGATGCTACAACACACTTGTGCCATTTCACTCCAATATAAATAATCCAGATTTATTTGCTCCTGGTTTCCAGAGATAAGGGGAACATGAGAAACTTACGTGATTTTTTTATGTGGAACTGACTCATTTCTCCTACATGTCCAACAGTCTGAATCTTTCATGTCAAACACGTATGTTCAAAGTGTAGCGCCTCGTTTCTGATAATGTGTTCTGGTCCCGGATGTGCTTTGTGACTACAGCACGATGTCAGCCAGAGGTGGGAAAAAGAAGGTCACGAAGCTGTCCCGGTCATCCAGGGCGGGGGTCATCTTCCCCGTGGGGAGGATGATGAGGTACCTGCGCACCGGTACGCACAAATACCGCATCGGCATGGGGGCTCCCGTCTACATGGCAGCGGTCATCGAGTACCTGGCAGGTRAGCGTGCCGTATAATCCGGTGTGGTCGTGTCTGTTTGAGGGTGAGAATAATTCATGTTTGCTCTGCTGTGGGAGTCTGAGGAGGAGGATTTATGTGCGACGATGATGGGTTTTCTGCTTCCTCTAAAGCTGAGATTTTGGAGCTGGCAGGGAATGCAGCGCGAGACAACAAGAAGGGTCGAATAACTCCCAGACATATCAAACTGGCTGTGGCCAATGACGAGGAGCTCAACCAGGTAAACAAACCATCTACAAAAAAAACAAACAACTGTTGTTGTTGCCTTTAAGCATCTCACCATGAACAAACAGAGCCTGTTTGTCAGAGTCGTAATATTCTGACCAGTGTTGTGTTTTAAGAGTTAGAGCCATTTATCTACCACATTCTCACTCCCGACTCGTCACATATTGACGCTTTTYCAAAGTTCCCTCTGCGTCTTATTTTGACGCGTCGGGTACACTCTTCAAGTCAGTCATTGACACACCAGGCATTTCCTGGTTTCCTCGGCGTCCAGGTTTTTACGCGTTGGGATGCAAAATATAGGGGTCTTTGAATTGGGKTCCGTGGTTAATGTTAGGGATCAGGGTTCACAATTAATTTTAGGTAGTGGGTTCAGGGATAGGATGTCTAGGGTGAATATTAGGTAATTTTAGGRTTTGGGACACGTAGTTGACGTGAATTTCCTACACTTTCTAAAAATGGTTAATTTTAGGGATCAGGGTTGATGGTTCATTTTAGGTACTAGAGTCAGGAACAGGATGTCTAGAGCAAATAAAGGTAATTTTAGGCTTTGGGATGGTTAGTTTTTGTGCATTTTCTACACTTTCTGAAATGATGACAATGGATTCCGCCCCATCTCGTCAATAACTGACGTGAGGRGGGTRCCTGACGCGTCAAAACCGGATGCAGAGGGAACCTTGGAAAAGTGTCAATATGTGGCCACCTGGGAGTGAGAATGGGCTGATTTATCAGAAACAAAATCTGTCCTGTGTTTTTGTGACAACCATGACTAAGTGATCTTGAGCTCTGGTTTCCTCCCTCAGACCAAAAACAAGTTTGTTAGCGGTAGCGGCTCATGAGCATAAATATTAGTGGAGCAGACATTAATTTCCTCAATCAATATCAACAAGAATGTCACTGTGTGCATCACATTTTCTGTAAACAAGTTAGATGTTACTCATCTAATCATTTGTCATCTTATTCCCTCTCTGCAGGCTGTCATTAATAAAAAAGAGTCCGGTCTAATATTAAATCAGTGAAACACCTTAGACTGCACCAACTGGACAGTATTTTTTATTTATTTTTTGGAGAAATTAATCAGACAGGTAGTTTCCAGGATTGGACTTCTAATTTAATTTTGAGTAATAATTCTGTAATAATTCTCCAGATAAACAAAGGTAAATAAGTGGGAAGACGTCCTGTGAACTGATTCCAAATATAAAGTAAAAAAAAAAAAAACGGCACCATCTTAACTCTGAGGCCTTAATCGAGACTCAAACTCAAAGACATTTTCAAAACTGCAGCGCTATATTAGCACAGAGCTAGCACAGTAATTCACATACGGTCGTGACAGATTTAGGTTAAAAAAGCTCCTTCCTTCTTGGCAAAAAAAATCCTGTTTTCAATTTCGTCCTCGTTTTCCTCAGTTTTTGATGTTCTGTTCGGGTCGGCTCTAAATATATTTCCAAACAGAATATCTCCCCCTCATTGAACGCAAGTTTTGCTGAACCTTATTCCTGCATTTTATTAGCTTACGTTAGGTCTACTGTTTAGATCAACGCATTAAAACTAACAGAAAGTGTCCATAGGATGTATTTTTAACTCCCCAGTGACTGTCTATTCAGAGGAGCTGACAATACCGATTATTGCCGACACTGAAAAACGCAGGGCATCAGGTTGTACCGCCCTTTAAATGTGAATGAGTAAAAAACTGAGAATGAGTCACTAAAACCCATTTTAAATTCTATTTAAAAATGCCAAAATAGTTGGAGAAACACACAGAACAAAACGATGCAAGACAAGCTAAGTAAATAAACAAACTACTTTGTGGGGCGAATGAATTTTGCTTTAGGCCACGCCTGAATGTTAGGATAACTGGGCACTCTAAATTCTTCCTAGGTGTGAYTGGTTGTTTGTGTCTCCATGTCCCTGTGATGTCCAGGGTGAGCCCCGCCTCTGTGACTGCTGGAGACAGGCACCAGCTCCCATGTGRCCCAGAAAGGGGGAAAAAAGAAGGTTAAAGACAAACATCCATCCACACCTAGAGACAATTTAGTTACCAATGAACATAATATGCATGTTTTTGGTTTGTGGGAGGAAACCAGAATACACAGAGAAAACTCACGCATGTACTAGGAGAACATTTATACTCCACCTAGAAACATCCCAGACTAAGATTCTATCCTGCAACCTTCTCACTATGAGGCGACAGCTCAGCACACCGTGCTGCCACTACCAAAAGTCTACCGTATAATTTGTAATAAACAAGCAAACAGAAGAGTCGTGTTTTGTCGCCGACAATTACAAGTTGTTTGTTTACATTTGAACATTGAGTACACTTCAGACAGCCTCAGCAAAGATGAGGAGATCAAGTTGCATTAACCTCCAATCATTCACTGATGTATAAATTGTGTTAGAAGCGGAAAAATTCCAAGAATGCCATTCGGTTGTTCACCAGTATCTTGACCCTCGGAAATCTGTCATTTTCACAAAAAGTCCACTTTTACACGAGGGGTGGGCTTTGGATCGGACAGACTGTCAGCCGTGGGAAAAGATAAGGAGAGGAGGCAAACTTATCTCCTTACAGCCCACCAGCTCTGAGACATAAATAAATTTGAAGCAAAGTTTCTGAAAAAATCCGTAAGATTGCCCTATATGTTTGAATACATACAAAATAAGGGAATATACATGTAATCTACAATATGTACAACTTGACATGTATGAGATTCAGATCAACACAAATGAATTGTGTGTTTTGACAGCTTTTATGTCTGTAGAAAAACAAAACAAGGACTGCAGGTGAGACCTTTAGTTGACTTCAGTATGAGTCATGTACCACTAGATGTCAGCATCTTCCTGCAGGCTGGGTCTTGAAATTCTACAGGGAAGCATTCAACCACAGTGTTTACCTTTAAACAAAACAGTCAGAGAAAATATTGTTTATTGGAGATCCAGTAAATACGTAGGGTTGCTCTGACTGGAGTTACAACCCTTCTGTGTTCAAGGCTGATTATTTCTTTGTAGTAAAGCTGGAGCCTCTGTTTCAGATTAGAAGAAACTATGGTCACTGTATGACTGGTATACAACAAGACTGGGATTAAAAATGCTCTATTCTTCAGCTTCTAAGAGGAGTGACCATATCAAACGGAGGCGTCCTGCCTCGGATCCACCCGGAGCTTCTCTCCAAGAAGAGAGGAAGCCGGGCGAAAGCGGACACCCAGACGTCCACGCCCGAGAAGCAGGAGGAGCGCTCCAAGAACAAGAAAGTGGTCAAACCTTTCAAAAAGTTCAAGGGGAAACGAGGCCGCAAGCCGAAGGTGAGTCTGCTGAACTGAACCGTCAGACACTGTCCGAAAATAACTTTCAAACTGGAACATTAAAGTTTATTTTTATATGGCTGACAACTGCTTTATTTCTTGTCAAAGAGCGCAGAAGGTGACAAAGAGTCTGTCCCGAGTTCCTCTGTGGAAGACGGACCAGGAGACGGATTCACCATCCTGTCAGCAAAGAGCCTGTTTCTCGGACAGAAAGTAATTTTTTTATTATTATTTGTTCAGCACAATGACTGATCAGAAATCAGATCAGGAACCTGTTTTTACATCAAGTCTGACCCAAATCATTTCAATCAGCAGATGTGTAATTATAACATGTTAAAGGGGTTAGTTTAGATCTTTAAGAAAATTGACAGTAAATATCTCACCTGCTGAAGATAGCTCTTTGAAAATCAGTTTGAAGAAATAGTTTAATCCTGGAGGACTCGAGCTAATAGCTAGAGCTGATCAAAGTGGATTCCTGTCATTTTAAAATGACTCCAATCTCTAAGATTTCTTAACAGCTCACGTGAACTTGATTTTATACAACTTTACATCACCGTCAAATATAAAACATGTTTATTTGGTTATTTTTGTCAGAATGGTCCTGTAAAACTGACTGCAGTGAAATGACTTAAAAACAAGCAATAGCAACAACCACTATAAATATTTTGTAAATTTGAATTTATAAATGTCAGCTGTAAACTTTGGAACTTTTGGCTTCAAATCCAAGTCCCTTCAGTCATACATGCATCAGTAAATACATACTGTCCACCTCCTCATGTCTGTTCCCAGCTTTCACTAACAGAGAGTGAAATCAGTAAGATCGGATCCATCAAGGTGGAAGGAATCATAAACCCGACAAACGCAGAGCTGGACCTCAAAGATGGAGTCGGTAAGGAGGGCGTGGTCCTGTGCGCCTCGTCTTTACTTTCTAAACTCCGGGTCGTTTTCAGCCGCTGCGCTCTGGTTTCAGGAAACGCTCTGGAGAAAGCCGGAGGCCGAGAGTTCCTGGACGGCGTTAAGGAGCTGCGGAAAGCCCAGGGGCCTCTGGAGGTGGCGTCAGGTACAGGCTGACCCAGGAGGACGGACTTGTATCAGCTGTGCTGCCTCAGTGGCACCAAATCACCCTGAACATCCTCAGTGCAGAGAAATGATGGGAATCATGGTTCAGTTCAAATCTTCAAAGAGAAATGATTGGTTCAAAAACAAGTTCAATACTTTGACTGCTGATTCAGCATTCACACTGCAGTGTCACTTTTATACTTTTCTAAATATTCACTTTTTGCTTTTAGCTACCCATTTCTTTCTTGTAGCTTTTAAATTGAATTTAGCTATTTTTAGCTTTTAATTAGCATTCTGCTATAGTTAGCCCTTGTAGTTTTAGTCTTTTAGCTTCTAGGTAACATTTTGCTAATGTCTTTTAGCTAGTATTCAGCTACATTTAGGTATTAGTTAGCCCCATTGCTAATTTTAACTAGTGTTTAAACATTTTAGTACTTTTTTACTAAAATTAGGGTTTTGCTTGTAGCATTCATCCCGTTAGCTTTTAGCTTTTGGTTTATGTTTGCTATTTTAGCCAGCATTTGTGACTTTTACCTTTTTAGTTTTGTTGCTACTGGCTGACAGCTAGTCTTTGTCCTTTTTAGCCTTTAGTAAGTTTTATCTTATTTTTTTAAGAGATTTTTACTTTTAGCTTATAAGAAGCATTTTGCTTATTTTGTCTTTTAGCTCGCATTCTGCTACTTTTAGCTTTTAGCTAACCTCTTACTACTTCCAGCTAACATTTTGCTACTTTTTAATGTTGGTACTCATTATCCATAAGGGTTTTGCTTCTATTGGGTTTTAGCATTCATTCTGCTACTTATAGCTTTTTGTTAACCCTTTGCTACTTTGAGTTTTTAGCCAGTGTTTTCCTACATTGAGCTAGCATTTTGCYACTTCTGGCTTGCTGTTGGGTTTTAACTAGTATTCTACTTCTTTTAGCTTTMACAACACAGTTTCAGCTTCTTCAGTAAAGTCCTTCAGCATGCGTCRCTCACTGTGTTTTTGCAGAAAATGCAGTTTCTCTGGTTCAGCCCAGTYGGTCCTGAATCCTGCTGTCCGGTGGGTTTTTCTGTGTCTCCTGCAGTGGCAGTGAGCCAGGCCAACGGGATGGCGGCCCGCTTCGTTATCCACTGTAACGTCCCTCAGTGGGGCTCGGAGAAGTGCGAGGACCAGCTGGAGAAGACGGTGAAGAACTGCCTCTCAGCAGCCGAGGAGAAGAAGCTGAAGTCCGTGGCCTTCCCGTCACTTCCAGCCGGACGGTGAGCTGCCCGTCCACCACTCGTCTCAAACGTCCCACCTGAACTGAGCCCCCTCCTTATCAGAACCGTCATATTCATTTTGCTGCCGACTTACATTAAACCTGCAAGGATCGAGTGGTGTGAAATGTTACGACACAGCCACGTGTTTGATATCTTTCTGTCTTACTGATGTCGTTTCACCTCCYGAGTCTGCATTCATGTTAAAATCTGCTTCTTTTTCACTTTCAGGAACGGCTTTCCAAAGCAGACGGCCGCTCAGCTCATCCTGAAGGCCGTCTCCAACCACTTTGTGTCGTCCACCAGCTCCTCCCTGAAAAACATTTACTTTGTGCTGTTTGACAGCGAGAGCATTGGAATCTACCTACAGGAAATGGCCAAGCTGGACACCAAGTGAGGATCTCTTCATTTCTGTGGGGTGGGGGGGTTGTTAATTGTTGCCGTTGTGTGGGTGGGGTCGGGGTGGCGGGATCCAGCAGTAGGGCTTTTAATGTGTGGTGGTCTCTTCGAGGAGGGAAACAGTAATTGTGAGTTAGAGGAGCTGTTCACGTTTTCTGTTCCACTTGTCTCGTTGGGCATTCTTTAGATCTTTTACATCTTTAGTTTGACTTTATTGTTCTTTATTTCACTGTTTCTACTCGTTTTTTTCCTTCCCCTTTAAACATTCARTGTATATCCTTCTTTTCTTGTCTCTGTAGTTTCTCATAGGTTRTTAAAAGTTGTGATTCTCATTCAGCTTTGAAATAAATCTGATATTTTACACCAAACTTACCCGATTTTAACCTGTCGTTACTTTACGAGCGAGGGCTACACCGTCTCATTTCACAGCAGTTTTGTTTTATGACGTGGCCTGCATGGGCCGTGGTCCAGGTAGGCTGTAGCCCCTGAATTGAGACACAGCCATGATAGCAGAGATATGATCATCTAGCAACATAGAAACCTTTTAATAATTAAAAGATGTCAACAACAGAAGACTTGTCCATCCAGCCTTACATGTTGGAGCCASAGTCTGACCCAGAACCAGAGGAGAATGAAGATCGTGAAATTGTAGTTGGTAAGTCTGGATCTTATTTAGAAGTTCCATCAGAAATAATTTGACAAATAGTTCAGAAACTAGAGAAAGCTGGATTAAAAAATATGACCCAAACAGAATATAGTTATCTACACAGCACCGGGAGAAACTAAATTATAATTTTCTGCACTAGACTCTAAACACACAACAAAATATATTTAGCATCTAAAGTGGATTTTGCATGATGTGTCCTCTTTAAAGTAGTTCTGAAGGCAGGAGGTTCAATCAAATTAATTTTGTTTTTTTTCTGTTGATGATGCGCACACCTTAAACCTGAAATAATGGTGTTCCACAAACGGCACGGAACGCTACATGACTACTTTGTTTACTTAAAAATAAATCCTCACACACACCAGAAGTCTTTACATTATATTTATTACATTGTAAAAAGCACATTACTTTTAATTTATATTTATATATTTGTACACATGGAATTCACCTTTCAAGCACAAACGTAGCTCCTGATAAAACTAAAGAGTCCCGTAGAACAAATAAAGCCACAGCGGCCACGTCCGTGGCTGTTTAAGGCTGTAGTGTCCCCCCCCCCCACCAACTAACATGTGGACCGCAGAGGGGTGGTCCGCCTCRCTCCCTCCCAGCTCAATAAATAACATTAAATACCAGCGAGACGCTCCGGACTGAGACACAGCTCCCGGTCCATTCTCTACACACCTCAAAGGTGGGGGTGGGGTTGCTTTAAAAGCTCCGTTAGATCACACGTCATCGTATGCGAGGCCCAGGGTGAAACCACAACAGAGTACGTTCCGCGAGATAGCAAGCCTTTACCTTAAAACTGTCAGCCTGTCTATTCCACTTCATTTGTTTCTACTAACTGAAAATGTTAAAAACGTAAGACACATGCTGTATTTCTGTCCCGGTTAACACAGCAGCTGGAGGATTTTATAAGATGAGTTTTAAAGTGACAAAGTGGGGGGAAAAGCTGGCGCTGGTCCTGAACGATTACCATCACGATCCACAGACAGGAAGCTAGTTTGTCAAAAGTGAATTAAGTCCGATTTATTCTGTTTTACAAACTCATTGGGAACCTGTATAAAAAAAAACCAGCGCTGCTGTTCTCCACAAGTCTCTGCTGCCTCCTCGAACTCGGAGGGAAACGTCCCGTTCTGCTCGTTCTCATGTGGAATGTGGGACATCTCTGAGAAGGACTCCATGTGCACATGATCCCTCTGTTTCACATAAAGTGCCTAAAATTAAACTTTTTGTTGGTTTTATCAATGACAGCTCAGAACAAGACTGGTTGGGCTGATCTAAAAAAAAAAAAACACCTAATATCTCAATTTTACAGGACAGCACCACAGATTTTGGCAGCTGAAAGAAAAACTGACCTTCAAGCAGTTTTCTGTACAAATCTGATCCCAACTGACGTCCAGCTGAGGTTTGAGCTTCTAAAATCCTGTCTGTGTGAACGGTGAGGCGGCTCGGCGTCTCTGCCTGATCTCCGTGCTAAATACAACCTTCAGGTCAATGAGGAAAAAAAGATAAGGGGTCTTTATCAAGTTAAAATGTCTCTAAGGGTGATGGGGAAAAAAAAGATGGCAGCTGTGAGAGCTGGTTCTTATTCCCTCTACCTGTGAACACACACATCCTGTGACCTCAAGGTGTACATGAGCTCTAATCCTGCTGAAAATACGACCATTAAACAGAGAATTTTCTTAAAGATGTCTAAGAAYAAACCTGTGTGGGGAAATTTATCAGTTTCATTGTCTCAGTCTGAAATATACATAATGCTCTAGGTTTCAACGGGCTGATAACAGCCACTAAATCTGTCTCCTGTTAGTGTATGAGCAGCACATCTGTGTTTTAAATGCTGCAATCATCAGTCTAGTTGGGATTTGTCCCCGTTTAGTTCCTATTGAATCAGAGAATCAACACAAAATGGCACAGCAGAAAGGACCGGTGCGTTCGGACAGAGAGGCGGGGCTTCTTTAAACAAAAGGCAGACGTGGGTCAGGATGGGTTGTCTTCATGAGAGCAGGTGGGCTTCTCTCCCTACTGGACCTCGTCAGGCGGACTTGCGGGTTTGGGCCCGGGAAGCAGCGGCACCGGCGACGTGGCCTCGATCAGGGCGGGGTTCAGGATGATCGGGAGGGACATGGGCGGGACTCCCACCTGCAGCGGGGAAGCCAGGGGCTGCAGGATCAGAGGGGGCTGGCTCAGCGCCRCGGGAGGCTGGCTGGGGGAGGGTGCTAGCGATGCTGTTGCGGCGGGGTTGATGGAGGGTGGAACCGGAGAGGAGCGGTCAGGCCCTACGAAAAAAATAAAAATAATTACATACTGAGATCTAAATACTGTTAATCCAAGATCCTTACATGTTTTGTAATCCTGTTTTTCCTCAAATTTCAACATTTTCTACATTTTCTGACATCAAAACAGCTCTGAATTTGCTGTGAATATAACAGTGGCTCTATTATTATAATCTGTACGCTTCAAAGATTATAAATATCAGTCTAYAGTCTTAATACCATTACAAAGGTCTTCTTTTATAAAAAGAAGAAAATATGGTMATTAAAAATAACAAAAAGTTCCATTTGATAGTAAAAGGAAACACTTTGCATGCTTTAGCCCTGGGCTAATGGCACAAAATGTAAAAACATTGTGTTTGGTTGGTAACAATATGTCTTGGCAATGACTCATATTGTAAAAAAAACTGTTTACTTCCATTAAAATAGTGCCACGTTAGAAAAGTCCATTTGAGAGCTGCAGAGTTGAGTGGGTTGTGTACATAAAAAAAAGGAAAATCTGTGTCTCTTCTCCACAGGGGTGCCTTTGAGTGGTTCTCATTGATTCAGTGTTGGCCCCATTTCTGGTTACAACCATGCTTTTGGGTCCACATCAGCAGTGGCTCCAGGCCAGTCAAGTTGAGTACTGCACGCAAGTGTTTGTAACTTCAGCAGACTTTGGACAGCAGCCCAAGAAGTTCAAGGACAATGCTCCAATTAGCTGCATTTTCTCCTGATAATTTTGCTGTGGTCCAGTTGTACTGGGAAATGGGAATTTCCCACCAACAAGTAATAAATTTAAAGTGGAACGCCCCCTACGGTGTGAATTCCCAGTTAGAATACTCACCACAACTGAACAGTGAGTAAAACTCTCTTACTTTCAATAGTATTTCTGTATTAATTATTTCACATTTAGTCAGTCTTACACGTTGTACTTTTCAGTGTTTCAATGCAGTTAAAGTTAAACATGAAAAGTTGAAGTTAATTACAACTGGCCCCTTGAAACATTGTGGCCCTTGGTGAAAACGAGTTTGCCAACCCCTGGCTTAGAGTGACACTTGATAATGGAGAAGGAACTTAATGCTTGTTTTGAGTTTCTGGAACCTCAAGGGGCTGCCACGATTAGTCGACTAGTCATGATTTTGTCAAATATTAAAATTGTCAATGACTAATTTAATAGTCAATACATCAGTTTTTTTTCTTTGTATTTTTTTTTTATAGTCGACTACAAAAATAATTGTTTGTGGCAGCCCTAATTACCACTAATGTGTATGTGTGTCAAGGACAGAAAGGCAGATGTGGCAGTGGAAGGTGTCACAGCAGTTTGGAGAGAAAAACAAAGTTAGAAAAAAAAAAACGATGCATCAACTATTAAATTAGTCGACGATTTTAATAGTCGACAATAACCGTGACTAGTCGACTAATCGTGGCAGCCTTAAGTGCCAACAATCAGGCATCTGATTATCAGCAACTTTAAGGCAACCAGTAGCAATCCCATCATCTCTGCAGTCTGAGACCAAACTCACATAGTCAAAGACTGCCTCCAGAGTTAGAGAGTGAAGAGAATGGATCTCGTGCAGTTTTGACCTGARCCCCACTGAACACCCGTGGCTCAGCTGGGGTGTATCGTTTGTTCTAGAGTGACCAAYACAACTACRTTGGCTTATTTGCAACAAATTCTGGTTAAGAATGGGGATGCCATCTCACAGCAGTGTGTGACCAAAGTGGTGACCAGCACAAGGAGGGGGTGCCAGGCTGCTGTGGCTGTGTATGGTTCTTCCACATGCTGCTGAGGCCCCCAGTTTATCAAATGAATAAATTATTTTTTTAACAACGTCTGAAAATGAAACAATTGTTGAACTACCAACATGTCTTTTTCCTTCAACTTCCAGACTACAAAAGAACCCCATTCACCACATATCAGAGCGTGYTGGAGCTCCRTGTGCAGCTCCTGTTCATCGTGACGGTGATGTTTACCGTTAACGATGACTGGCTGAGACTCCAGTGGCGACTCCGGCCGACTGGATGCTTGAGTCTCTGCTGGGGCGAGTGGAAAAGGGACTGGGGATGGAGGCTGGGGAGGAGGTGGAGATGCCTGAGGGGATGGAGGCCGGCCTCCTGGGGGTGTGGCTTCAGTAGGAGGACCAGGGTTTGGATCTGAAAATAAAACACAAATGATGATACAAAATAAACACGAGCTGCAGCCAAACTCTACTCCTAGACATCGAGAAGAAAAAAAAAGGAGCTACATAGTTTTGAATGATTGTGGTTCTGAGTACCTGGTATGACGGTCTGTTTGAAAAGCTCCTCCCTCAGGTTGGGCAGGAAGCAGACGATCCGCTCCCATGTAATCTCCCACAGGTCGGAGTATCCTGTCCTGGAGTCGGTGCTGTGGAAAATCCCTGCTGTGTCCATCACAAGCAGCATGTTCTTCAGAGACTCTGGGATCGCCTCCAACTGCACACAAACCAAACAAATCAAAAATCTTCAAGATCGTCTGTAACAAACTCCTTTTAACGAGAACATTCAGCTGTTCCCACTGAAACAGTAGGATCTGCTTTAGAATCATCCTCACCAGTAAGTCACTGGATCCTGCATGCATGTATTTGTCCATGAAGTCCAGAATGGTGAGCCAGAGGGCAGCGAAGGTGGGCAGGGACAGCAGTGGGGAGAGGTGTTGCAGGAAGACCTGGAAACACACCCCCAAAATAAAGTAAATACGACAAAAAATCTTTTTTTTTTAAGTTAAACTTGGTTTTTGCAAAACAAAACTATAAGAACCGTCATTCGTTATTATTCTAACAGCATAAAAAGGTCTTACAAACCCAAAGATTTTCTTTTTGTAAAACTGCTGAAGCTGTTAATGTGAACATTCTCCAGTTTAGCCAGTTTTATTGAACTGACAGACTTAAATTTACAAAAAAAGGAAAAGAAAAAAGGGGAAAAAATGGATGAATAAAAAGTAAAATCATTTTATTTGACTGGAACTCCTATTTATTTTCATTAACTTTCAAAAGTCTGTATTCACCATTAAGAAAACGGAGATAAACACCTCATTATTTATAGATTATGGTAACTTTTCACAGGCTTCTGAGGGTTTTTATGTTGCCTCAGGTGTTTCTTTGGAAAACTACAASAAGTGAAGTTTTCTGGACCTGGTKGTTTACAACTGAATTTCCAGAGAASTTAAAGGAAAGAAAAAGCTCAGGTAATTGTTACGAGCGTAATCTAATAAATGACAACGCTAATGAAGTGACGCCTGTGATGACTGCTGGAAGTACAGTGTCTGCAGACCTTCGACAGCAACGTGCAGGCTCTCATTCTGGTCTCCTCCATGCCTCCGACGTCTGCGGGGCTGATGTTGTCCAGCAGCTTCGTCAGCAAGGGGAAAAGAACCTGCAGACACACCAAATCAGCTGGGATCTCCAGAACTCCTCTGGAGTTATTAGSTTTGTGAACTTTTTGGTCATTTGATTTTCATTTTAAAAACAGATATTGGGGGGGTGGGGTGGATGGCTATTCCATTTTCATTTTAAACTTGAAAAGTTGAAAAACGGCCCATATTTTTATCTTTATTAAACTGGAAATTTACCACCATCTTCAAGGCAACTCAATGTTATCCTGTGGAAGCAGCTGTGGCTTTAAGTTCCTAACCAATAACCTCACAGGACCTCTAAGACAAAGGCTTAATGTGCTACAAGCACCAGAAGCTCCAGAAAACATCATGTGTCATCAGTGATGTACAAACTATCAGCTGACTGTTAAAGTTATGTAAAACTAGTTAACTAGTGTGTATTTATTGCAGCTGCTGGATTAGCTAGTTAGAAAGTACAATGTGTTTATTCGGAGGAATCAAGGAAATCAGCTAGCCTAGCGTATTGTTAAAAACCACCGTGTACAGTTAGCTCCGGGGAGGTATAGGTAGGTTACGGTTCTGAAATAACATAGTAAAACATACAGGCTTGCTAGTTTTCACCTAAAACCAGATTCTGTTAATCACGGATGAATGAAACGTAGCACTGTTTCCAGGAGCCCCAGGTTTCACACAACTGATAACAGCGCTGGACTTCCAGTTTGAGAAAAATAAAAGAGGAATTGTTTTTTTTGTTCCTTTTATGTAGTATAAAATCATAATAGAATAATCAAATGGTTTTTTTTGTTGTTGTTTTTCAATAACTGTTTTTAAAACATATCTATTATTTAAACTGTTTCCAGGAGCCCCAGGTTTCACACAACTGATAACAGCGCTGGACTTCCAGTTTGAGAAAAATAAAAGAGGATTTTTTTTTTCTTTTTTGTAGTATAA